TCCAGTCATCTTAACTACCACACCATGGGCTGGCCCCTAAAGATGTTTATAGGTAACTGATAACCATATAAATTAACAAGGGCCAACCTGTGGCATGGTGGTTAAAGTGGCAGAATCCTACATGGCTGATGACACAGTACGGTACGAGTCCCAGACCCTGCAGCTTAGGGGCATACTGGGCACGTGCATGTATGTGGCCAAAATCCTGAAAAGAGGTAGAAATAGAGAAGGGACTGGCATGACCATTCCACATGGGGGGGAGTGCTTGCTCACTCTTCTCTCGTGCCCTCTCTACTGTGTGTCCTCTGTCAAAATTTAGGGAAAAAAAAAAACGATTATTTAGGAAGCCAGACTGTGGCTCAGCAGTAAAATACGACACTCTGCAAGACAATCCCATATGGGAAGATTCAGGGTTCAAGTATGGAAGTGTTCCTTAATATGCTGTGCATAAAACTGCCCTTGACAGAAGGCTGATTGGAGGCTGCAGACGAATCACAGCATCAGACTGTTGAGCGTGCTCTTTTGCTCATGGAGGAAACAAATAAAACTTAAAAAAAAAATAATCTTCAGGCAGTATCTAATCAGTGGTAGATATTACTTCTTATAGTTTCCATTTCCAAATGATCATTTCTACCAAAAATACTCATTATGAACCGAGTAACACAGTTTTATTTACTTAAGGCAAAGAATTCTAGTGTTATGTAGTATTATGGGTTGAACCAGTGCTCAAGAAAATATGCTGAAGTCCAACTCCCAGTACTTGTGATTGTGACCTTATCTGGAACATTGTCTTTGCAAATGCAATTAAAATATAGAGCTTAGGGCAAGCAGATAACGTAGAGTTACAACACTGGACTCCCACATGACCAACTGCGGTTCAAGTCCTAGACCCACTGGCTTAAAAATCATGCCAGGCGTGTGTGTGTGCATGTGCCCAAGAATTCTGGGAGGAGAGCAGAGAAGGGATTGTGGTACAGCCATCACCCCTGGAGGGGTGATTTCTCACTTTCCCTCTCACTGTCTCTGTCTCTCTGCTTGGCAAGTACATGAACCCTAAGGCAGAAATCTCTAAATAAATAAATAAATAAATAAATCAGAATATAGGGCTGACTCTGTGACATAGTGGTGAAGTGCTGCTCAAAGAGAAATCAGACTCTATATGGTGATTGCAGTTCAAATCCCTGGCCTGGGAAGTCTGAAGCATGCTGGGCACATGCTGGGGTGCACAGGATCCGACAGGCTGGGGAACTGAAGGAAGGGGACTGCAGCATGAAGAGACCCTGTTGAGGGTGTCTGATCCCCCAACCCTTCACTTTCACATATGCATACACATGTTCATCATGAATAAAGGGAGGAAAAGATGTTTAAATTTAAGATGGGTCATATTAGGGTCAGCAGGTGGCATGATGGTTAAGGTGCTGGATTCCTATGTGGCCAACCAAGGTTTAAGTCCTAGACCTGGAAATGTGAAAAATCACATAGATAAAATAAAGAAATGTTAAAAAAAAAGGAGGGGGAGGGGGTCATGTGGGAGCAGTATGAGCTCTTTAATTTTTTTTTTTTTAAGAATTTTTAAATTTAACTTTGTTTATTTTAATTTTACCAGAGAGGGCCAGAGTAAGAAAGAGAGAGAGAGAGAAAGGGAGGGAAAGTGAGAAAGCAAGCCACTAGGTCCAGGACTCGAACAGCAGTTGGCCACGTGGGAGTCCAGCACCCTTAACCACCACGCCACCTGCCAGCCCCAGGAGCAGTATGGGCTCTATAAATCCAATATTATTGCTGTCACTGTTATTATTATTTTAGTTCTCATGATGGGGCTCGTGCACTTGCCAAAGAGAGACAGAGAGAAGGAAAGTGAGAAATCATGCCCCAGGAAGATGGCCAAGAGGGCAATCTCTTCTCTTCCATTCTCCTCTCAGGATTTTGGGCACACATGCAGTGTTTTTGTTTTTTAAAGAATTATTTTAATTTTTTAATAATTATTTTATTTAACTTTTTATTTATTATTTATTTATTTGTTTATTTCGATTTGACCAGAGAGGGACAGAGTGAGAGAGAGAGAGGGAGAGAGAGTGAAAAAGCAAGCCACCAGGTCCAGGACTTGAACCTCGGTTGGTCGTGTGGGAATCCAGTGCCTTTAACCACCATGCCACCTGCCGGTGAATTATTTTAATTTTAATTTTACTCATTGTCACTGTTTTATTTATTTATTTTTTTAAAGTTGAACAGAGAGAAAGAAGGAAAGTGAGAAAGCGAGCTGCCAGGTCTAGGACTCAAATCATGGTCAGCCATGTGGGAGTCCAGCTGCCCCAACCACCATGCCACCTGCCGACCTTGCACCCTGTGTTTTTTTTTTTCAAGCCACTGAGTCCAGGATTCAATCCGTGAAGTCGGTCATGCGTGAGCCAGTGCCTTATCCACACACCACCTGCTGGCTAATACATTTTTTTTTAATATTTCTTTCATGAGTAAGAGAGCAGGATAATGTAAGGACAAGAGCAAGAACATGAGCAAGTATACGAGAGGGGGGTGAAGAGAAAGAGGCATCCTAAAGGGACTGATGGGGCAGACAACCCCTTCCCCCAGCTCTCCAGCTGGTCAGGATCTTGGGCACACACAGCTGGCATGTTTCCAGTCTATTTGGGATCTGAATTGTGGGTAGCCATGAATTTCCAACACGACAGATCAGTACACCACAGCCTGAACCACCACAGTGGGCCAGCCCCATAGCACAGCAGTTAAGTGCTCTGCATAGGGAGCCAGATTCCACACGGCTGGCTGTGGTTCAAAACCTGGCCTCAGCAACTTGAAAGAGTACCAGACAGCACCAGCAGGTAGTGTAGTAAAGACACTGGGTTCCCATATGGCTGACCACGGTTTGAGTCCCAACTCTGTCGCTTGAGAATCACTCTAGGTGTGTTTGCTTACATGCCCAGAATCCCGAGAGGAAAATGGAAAAGGGACAGTGGAGTGGCCATCCCCTTAGGGGTAATTTCTCATTTTCTCTCTCGCCGTGTCTCTGGCAAGTGTACACATCCTTTAGCCAAAAATATAAGGGAAAAAAAAGAAAGAAAAGAAAAAAGATGCCGGGTACATGTGTGTGCATACCCCAAATCCTGACGAGATGGAGAAGGAGAAAAAGGACTGCAGCATGATCACACCCAAGGGCGGTTGCTTTCTCTTTTGCTTGCTTTCTCACTCTCTCTCTCTGGCGAGTACACACACTCTCAGGCAATTAAAATAAATGGGCAGGAAGGAGAGAAGAGACAGGGATAGATATTTATAAAGCAGAGATCACCACGTGATGGCATAGGCAAACACTGGACAGATGCATCTACAAACCAAGAAACACAAGGATTGGGCAACACCAGACACTAAAAGAATGGCAGGGAACACTGTCTTCATTTTGGGCATCTAGCCTCCAGAACTGTAATACACATCTATTGTTTTCACCCACTCACTTCATATTTAGTTACAGCAGCTGTAGGAAACTAATACAAATAGTAAGACCAAAGAGTATAATTCAACTCTGTGGTGGAGACAATAATATAGTAAGTGCTTCCTCTGTTGATAACTGTGACTGGTTTATGAGGGACCAGCAGGTGGCGTAGTGTTTAAGGTGCTGGACTCCCAAGCAGCCAATCACAGTTCGAGTCCCAGACCTGTTAGCTTGAAAATCATGCCAGGCACATGTGCATGCATGCCCAAAATCCAGAGAGAAGAGGGACCAGCAGTTGGCATAATAGCTATGTTGCTGGACTCCCATGTAGTCAACTGCAGTTTCAGTCCTGGACCCAGTGGCTTAAACTCATGCTGGGCACGTGGGCGTGTGTGTCCAAAATCGTGAGAGGAGAATGGAGAAGGGATTGCGGTGAGGCCATCCTCCCTGGGGGATGATTTCTTGCTTTCTGTTTCTCTGTCTCTGTCTTTCTGGTGTGCGCACGAGCCGTACAGCAAAAACCTCCCAAAAAAAAAAAAAAAAAAGAAGAAGAAGAAATAAAAAAAGAAAAGAAAAGAAAAGAAAAAGAAAAAAAAACAAACTATAGGGGCCGGCAGGTGGCATGGTGGTGCTGGACTCCCACATGGCCAACCGCAGTTCAAGTCCCATACTTGGCGGCTTGCTTTCTTCCTCTCTCTCTCTCTCTCTCTCTCTCTCTCTCACTCTGTCCCTCTCTGGTCAAATTAAAATAAATAAATAGGGACCAGCAGTTGGTGTAATGGCTATGTCTCTGGACTCCCATGTAGTCGACCACGGTTTGAGTCTCAGACCTGGTGGTTTAAACTCACACCGGGGCATGTGCATGTGTGCCCAAGATCCCCAGAGGAGAATGGAGGAGAAGGGACTGCATCAAGGGTGATTTCTCACTTTCTGTCTCTCTGTCTCTGTCTTTCTGGCAAGTGCACTCGCCCTTATAGCAAAAACCTCTCCAAAAAGAAAAAAAAAAAAAGTTAAATAATAATAATAAAAAACCTGTATGTTAAACTGAAAAATAAAAATAAAAGTGAAAATATCTTAAAGAAGCGCCTACTATACTCTGCAATTTCTAACAATGACTAAATAACAAATGATCCTATGAAAGAGAAGTGAGACGACACAAACCTTAAGTCCCTGTATAAGTTTCAATTACTTCTAAGAAACTTTCTCTGACACCTCCAAGCCACATACTTTTTAACTGCACTTAAGAGAGAGACCCATTCTGAAATGTACAGACTAGAATCAAAATTACATTTGCGGAGCAGGTACTCTGTACCACATTTCATGAACCACATACTTTAATAAAACAATCTGAGCAGGTGGTTACAGCAGTCATTTTATAAACTCATTTATAAAGTCATTTTAAAAAGTGCCCAACATCACTAGCTAGGAAGAGGAGGAGCTGTGATTGGTACTCAAGCTCCAAACATCATCCATTCAACAATTATCTATTACCCATCTACAGAGACTAATAAGAAAACTAGACGGTTTCTCCGAAAATAAAAACGAAGCTCCCAACCCTTACCGCGGGAGAGGGCTTCGTCTGCTTGCTATATTAACCCCTCAAGGCTAGGATGGGGCTCCTAAGAGCAGAATGCAGCTGCCCCTCTTCCGGCCACACAGCAGGGATCCTGGGAAACTGGTTCGGATCCGTGCACGCTAATGAGCCTTGCGTGGACACAGGCACCGCCTGGAGCCCAAGAGACGCGTGGAAGGATGCGGCGCCCCGAGGCCGGCACAAAGAAGCGTCTGGCAGAAACGACGAAGACGGGCTCTGGGCGCCGCCTCTCGCGCTCTTCCAATTTCGCACCACAGCCCCGTGGGGAGGCGGCATCCGCTGCACCTCTTTGGGAGGAGGCAGCGGAGGCTCTATCCGGAGAGTCACCAAGGCCTGCTCGGAGGGACCCGCGCTCGCCGCAGGGCTCACAGCCGGAGAGGCTTAGCTACTCAGGCTGAGGACGACCGGCCTAGCCTAGTACCTGGGGAAGCCGAGCCCTCGAGTCTGTGCCTGGGAGCAACCGCGGCGGAAGCTGAACGACTGACAGCCTTCCGGAGGCCCGCGCGGCCCACCACCACCTTTGCGTTTCGCGCCCCTACTGACGCGGGCCTCGCGCCGGCCCCGCCCCCGTCTCCACGGCGACGCGGCGCGCGCAAGGGACGCCCCGCGGGGACTCTGGCGTCTGCGCAGCCTGTCCTGCAGGTGGCTCGACTCCGTTTGGCCCCGGTGGAGCGTCTGCGGAGCGTGTTGGTTACGGGATGTGGACGGACACACGGTCTGAGCAGCGGTACAGGGAGTTCTTTGCCACACTCAGCTCAGCCCCCTGCTTCCCTTAGGCGAGTGAAATTGGAACCGTTTCGAGGCGGGTCCCCAAATTACGTCTCCTCAGACCAAGCATCAGGGATGACGCTCCTGTCGGGAAGCCAACGCAAAACAAAGTCCTCCTTTTCCTACCTCCGGGCTCGCGTGCGAGCCACTCTGACTTTTGGTTCCGCGTGGTAGCCGGAAACTGTGGAGGAGGGCGCGTCCGAGTGTGGACGGAGGAAGTGGTCATAATTTGTATTTAGCGGGGGCGGCCCCCAAATTAGTTATCTCAGGCTGATCTCTTATTATAACCCTTTCTTTTAAAATTAAACCCTAATTGTTAGTAAAATCGTTAAGTTTTGTCTTCAATTTGGGTCCACCCTAATCTTTTTAAAATAGGGGTGGGAGACAGGAAAGCCATGTTTTTCTCCTGTGCTTTATGAAACTAGAGCGCGTAAGAGGGCGAATGCTAGCCTTCTCATTTAAATGCTTGATTGTTCGTTAAAAACATGAGTTAGAATAACTTGTTGGGTGTCAGGTTTAGAATCTCAGGCAATTTGTAATTTTGCTCTATTTCCTACAGGCTAACATTTTCTTTTTCATTTTTTTTAAGAGGTTTTCACTATAGGGCGCGTGCGCTAGCCAGACAGACAGAGACATAGAGACAGAAAGCGAGAAATCACCCCCCAGGGGGGATGGTCACGCCGCAATCCCTTCTCCTCCATTCTCCTCTCGGGATCTTGGGCACGCACGCACACGCGACCGGCGTGAGTTTTAGGCCACCGGGTCCGGGACGCGAACCGCGGTCGACTACGTGGGAATCCAGCGACATAGCCATTACGCTAACGGCTGGTTCCCATACAGGCTAACTTTTGTAATTAAAAAAGTGTGTAAAAGAAATTCTATTTTAGCAGACACCTGTGCCAACTTTTTAGGGATGACTATTATCTGATGTGACCAAGGAGTTTTTAAACAACTCGGAGCTAATTCCTAAGTCCTAATTAACACTGTAACTGATATTTACGTACTGTAGATTAGCCTTCTAAGTACTTTTCAACAGGGAACTTCAAAAAAGCTCACAGAACAATATAATGACAATACAAGTTTATTTTGGTGCAAAAAATATTGAAGTCCATATGTAGTGTTCTCATAATACACATTTTCCATGATCCCCCCTTGGGTGTATTTATATAAATTACATTCAGGACTATAAATCCTCACAATTTTTCTTGATGATTTGAGTTGACTGGGTGATGATTTCTTTCCGGCAGGTGCAGTCACCAACATCAGTTTTGACTAATTTAGGAAGGGGTGAAAGGCATTCATTTGTATTATAATGGAAATAATAGCCCGATCTGGGAAGATTAAAAGATAACATACAGTATATAATAGCTACTTTGGCTTAATTTCCATGTTGCTAGGCTCTGATTTAAGTACTTCCCATGCATAAAACCAAAGGTGCAACTCAGTGGTTAAGGGTTAGAGTCCACATGGCCTACTGCACAGGCTTCTAAAGCACACTAGGAGTGCATGTATGCTGAAATTCATGAAAGGAGGGAGAGATGGAGAAGGGATTACAGCATGGCCACCCCTATTGGTGGTGCTTTCCCACTTTCCCTCCCCTGAGAAAAATAACCATGCACCCACTGGCAGATTTTTTTCTTTTAGTTGACAAAAGGGAGCTAAGTTCCACAAATAGTTTGGCTGTGTGATCTGCTGAAAGTCCCTTAGTAATTTCTTTCTAGTACTTAAATTGAGGATATGGTGACACAACTGTGAAACTATTTAAATGTTGGCTTCCTGGAACTAGGGATTACCCCTGGAGCAAGACTGAATAGGGAAACAATCCATTTACAGAGGTGTGACCTCAGTCTTCAGAGGAGGCTGGTGAGGGAAGTGGACTGGCATTAGACTCTCTCATGGGTGCTCTCATCATTTCTAGGTTTCAAGTATTTTTTTTAAAGAGATTTTTGTTATAAGGCATATGTGCTCACTGAAGAGACAGAAAGTGAGAAATCACACCCCCCCACCACTGTGGGGGTGGTGGTGGTGGCCACGCCACAATCCCTTCTCCTCCATTCTCCTCTCAGGATTTTGGGCACACACATACATACTCACCTGGCCTGAGTTTCAAGTTTCCAGGTCCAGGACTCAAAACTGCTGTCAGCCACCATGTGAGAGTCCAGCTCCTTAGCCACTATGCCACCTGCTGGCTCCTGGAATGTCTTCATTTGCTTCTCTATTCTTTTTTTTTATTTTTTGGAGGTTTTTGCTATAGGGCATGTGTGCTCGCCAGAAAGAGACAGAAAGCGAAAAATCACCCCCCAGCGGGGATGGCCACACCGCATTCCCTTCTCCTCCATTCTCCTCTCAGGATCTTGAGCACGCATGCACACGCACCCGGCGTGAGTTTAAGGCACGGAATCCGGGACTCAAACCAAGGTCAACTACATGGGAGTCCAGTGACATAGCCATTACGCTAACTGCAGATCCCTCTCTACTGTTTTTGCACTGTCAGTTTCCCAAACTAAACTTTTTGAGTCCCCTTATGGCCAAACAATGGGCCAACTATTTTAATCTAAGCCAAAACCTTACAAAATATTTAGTAAAGAACTAGAATAAATTATTTTCCTCTTGTTCTCTCAAAACCTTCAAAACCTTTTCACTCATAGCTGAAAATGGGTTATTAGTTGCAAAGGGAAACATTTAGAATTACAAAATATCATTCCTGCCCAAAAGTAACCTTTAAAAGCTACAATGAAACCAGGACTTCTAAGCATCTAACTTCTACAAGGCACAAGTGAAAGTTTATGGATCCCCACCTTTAGTAAATTATTACCTTTATTTACTTCTCCTTTCAAGCACAAATAGGGACTCTCTTTGGTGAGTGCATACATCGTATGGTAAAAACCTAAAAGGTTGGGGCCAGCAGATGGCATGTTGGTTAAGGGCATTGGACTCCCACATGGTTAACCATGGTTTGAGTCCTGGACCTGGTGGCTTGCTTTCTCACTTTCCCTCTCTTTCTCTGTCACTTTCTGGTCAAATTAAAATAAAATAAATAAAGCAAAATAAATCTTAAAAACAAACAAACAAAAACTAACTAAAAAATCAATTGAGGCCAAGGTTCTATAAGATACCAAAGAAGAGTCTGGTAGAAGAGTAGGTCCTAAGTAGGACAGAGCAGAGGGCTCAGAAAATTAGTTCTAGGCTACAATGATACCTACAATGCCCTGAGCATTTCTATAGCTTATGGTCATTTTAAAATATACCCACAAATTCCATACTCCTTCCACTTAGGTGGAGTCCAAGTCCCTTCTGTTAAATATAAGTCAGACTTAGTGACTCCCAAAGAACAGAATGTGTTATGTGGCAGAACTGACATTAATGCCGAGGCTAGGACAAGAAGAAGGCAATACAGCAACTATCTGGCCCTCTTATTCTTTCTCTGGACATTTATTGGAATGCAGCCACCACACTGCGTGGAAGCACAGGCCACATGGAGAGGCCATGTGTAAGTATTCTGGCTGACAGCGCCCCATCTCAGCTGACAGCCAACATTCACCACTGAACCCATAAGTGGGCCCTTCCGTGTTCCTCGCCCTCGGCCGTGGAGCTGCCCCAGCTGATGCTAAGTGCAACAGAGACCAGCTGTCTCAACTGGAATCAGCCCAATGGGCAGATATGGGAGAAAAATAAATACCACTGAGAGTGTAAGCCACTGAGTTTTGGGGTGGTTTGTTAAGCAGCAATAGCTAACCACAACAGTGTTTTCAGTATTTATTACCTCTAATTCCTTCTATGAACCTGAAAAGCACATACTGCCATCCCTTTCTGATAGACACCTGAGGTCCAAAGCAGTGAAATGTCTGGTTTGGGATTTACACCAAGTGGCACAGTCAGGATTAAATAGTTTCAAATAGTAATCTTCTCTACCACTCCATCATGGGAAGAAAATAAGACCTGTTTCCCTCAGCTTTAGGAAGAACCTGAATTTGAAAAGAAACATGGGAGTCCAACAATTTAACCACCATGCCACCTGCCAGCCTCCAGCTTTGTTTTTTAAAATAAGAAGAACCATTATTTGACCACGTACAATGTGTCTCCATGGTAGTATAGTGAAGGCGCTAGACTCCTACATGGCCCGTCATGTTCAAGTCCCAGACCTGGAAGCTTGAAAACCATGCCAGGTGGGACCAGCAGTTGGCGTAATGGCTATGTTGCTGGACTCCCTTGTGGTCGACTGCAGTTTGAGTCCTGGACCTGGTGGCATAAACTCACACTGGGTGCATGTGTGTGCGTGCTCGAGATCCGGAGAGGAGAATGGAGAAGGGATTGTGGTATGGCCATCCCCCCTGGGGGGTGATTTTTCACTTTTTGTCTCTGTCTCTGTCTTTCTGGTGAGTGCATGCACCGTACAGCCCCTCCCCCCCCCCAAAAAAAAAATCCTCTAAAAATATTTTTCAAAAGATAGTTTTTTGGAGGTCATATAAAACCTTTTATTCATCCTATTTTCAAAAATTATTCATTTAAGAGAGATTTTTGCTATAGGGAGTGTGTGCTCACCATAGAAACAGAGATAGAGACCAAAAGCCTGAAATCAGCCCCCAGGGGGTATGGCTACACCACAATCCCTTCTCCACTCTCCTCTCAAGATTTTGAGCATGCATGCACAGGCAACCAGGCAACTGTAGTGAATTTTAAGCTGCTGGATCTGGGACTCTAACTGTGGTCAACTATGTAGGAATCCCGCAACATAACCATTACGCCACCTGCTGATCCCTATTTACTATATTTTAAAGTTTGCTATAGGGTACAGGTGCTTGGGGGAGGGGGGAAAAAGTGAGAAAGCAAACCATCAGGTCTGGGACTTGAACAGTGGTTTGCCATGTGAGAGTCCAGCACCTTAACCAGGCTACCTGCTGGCCCTAACCTATACTACTTTATCATGACAACGGCTCTGTGAGTAAGTTACCTTCCCAATTTTAAGATAAGAAAACCAAGGCTAAATACAAATCATTTCCTAACTCTACATGGCTTGTAGGGAGGTGGCAGACATGGGTTGCAAACTCTGGCCCAACTTGCAAACATTTCCCCCTGCTTTTGCCTGCAGAGGAAAGATGGTTTGGAAGAAATACATTTTATTCGATATTTCTGATCAGAAGAAGTTGTTTTCTTTGTTGCCAACACTAACAGGAAACGAGTTTAGGACGCACTCCCTAACGCCCTAGTATCACAAGAAAGTGAAGTTCAAAGAAAGTAGGCCTCTTTAAAGAAATGCTGGTTTCGTTGCCCTGTAAGGAGAAAAATTACTTTTCTCACCACGCCCATCTATCATTCCACAACTCTGGGCAGTCCCACAGGGACACTAGGGGAATCGTGATATTCCTGCAAACCAGTCTCACTGACCTCCTTCCCAGCATGTTGGTTACTAGCACTGCTCACGTATTTGCATCTCTGTGCCTAGTCGGCCGATGTCTCGGCACTGCAGGCTAAGCGCTTGACATTCGCCATCTTTCTTCCTCCGACCACTGGCACTTCCCCTTCCAGCGCTGGCTA